CTCTGTGTTTTTCCTACAGGAACAAAAACAATGGCCTTAAGTGCTAGTTTGGTTCCCAAGCTAGGCTACAAAAACCCAGCTAAGCAGGAATATATGCAAGTTAATTACAGTACTACTGATTTTAGTCAGTACTGGCCAAGCAATCTGGAAAGAGAAGAATAAAATTTCTTCCCCGTTTCCAGGCTTCAGAACCCAAACAATGAGTACAAGAATACATGAAAGATAGAAGGTTTCCAACTGTCTTACAAAGCTAACTCTGACACTATAATCTACCACAGTAAACACAAAAGAAAACTTCAGACCAATCCCATTTAGTATAGCTCTACATATTAAAATGCTAGTAAATCCCATCTATTAAAAGAGTAATCCGCTAAGTCCCAATGGGATTTATTTCAGTTGTGCAAAGACGGTTCAATATTAGGTTATCAATGTATTTATTACATCATCATATCCAAGGAGAAAAACTTTCCATTACAATGTCATTTTGTTCCTAAAAAGCTACTTGTTATAATGAAACATCCACACCTGTTTAACATTGAGTAAACTAAGAATAGAATTCTACATAACATAGAAAAAACTGAAAACACTGTGAAGGAATTTCTTCCAAGAAATATGCCAAGTAAAGGCAATTTAAAAAAGTAGTTCTTTCAAACTTTCAATATCTATATTAAAAGGATATATTTTCCCTGAGTATTGTTTTTAATGATTCAGAATGAACGCTTCTTATTTTGAAAAATACTTGTGGTTACATACAAAATGTTTAAAACTTACTTGAACATGTATTTCTCTATTTACAACTGGAAGACTGAAATGTATCTACTGGCTCCTTCTATTCAAGATGGGAAATGAGCAAACATCTCCTCCAACTCTTTCCTCTCTGTCTTCCTTTCTGCTTTTGATGATCTCTATTGAGCTAAGCTTCTCTTTCAAGAATTAGGAAAGACATTTTCAGGGTTTTATAACCATACTCACAACAATTATTTAGACCTAACTCTATACAGTAATGGTTTAGAAGCTCAATATGACTCCTCTTATACCACAACTTACCCATGTTCAGATCTCCACTGAAATACTCAACAATGAGAAGTATTTTCAGGATGGGTACAGGAGTGCTATGCATCTCTAGTGCTGACACACACCCAGCCGACTCTCAAGAGTTTCTGGTATATGGGTGGCCTCCCTCCCTAGTTGTGAAATTAACAGCTCTGCCCTGTTTTTATATTTTCTTGGTTATTTCAGTAAAGAAAGGGAATCAGCAGACTATATTCAAATAAACATTTTGTGCAAAAATCTCTATAATTGCACTGTATACCCTGGCAAAAATTCCCAGTTAGTAATTAATTTCACTTTATTAACAGGACAAGTGGGAAAGGGAAGAAGCCGAGTACAACTTACCAGGCTACTAATAACAAATAATCAAATATGCAATTTTAATATTCTCAGCCCATTATATTAAACCCACCCTGCCTTTCTTTTTACTCATTATTAAAATAAATCTTGGAGCAATGAAAAATATTTCCAAGAGAATATGAAAATTTCAAAATAAGACTCCTGGTATTACCAAGTTATCTAAATGTCCCTCATACCCTGCACTAGCCCTACTGTCAAAAGAAAATAACCAAGTTTGAAAATTGTAACAACTCCATCAACAACACAAAGAAATACCTATCAAACATACAGCAACACCGGAAGCTTGGCAGATGAAATGAAAGCACAGCAGTTGAACACACGTAAATTTTAAACGTAACATTCTTTCCCACCTCTAAACTAACTGCAAGAGAGGTCCTCTCCAAATCTCACAGATTAGCATAACTTCACTTAAACGGGAGGCACTGGAGAGTTATAAGTTAATAGAAAACTATCTGAACCAAAATGGATTTCCCAACAGCCCAGCTAGAACCAGACCCACATCTGAACTCAAGCTGATCAGGTGAAAATAAAGGGCTAATTCAATGGGAATGCATGCTTCCCTGCATTCATCACATAATAGTTTCTGGAAAATTTTGAATTAAGAGTTAAACCAAGAAATCCAGCTTCATTTTGTCTGGTGAAACACCTTCAACTACAAGGCAATATGCTGTCAGGACATGTAAGCATGAAATAAAGGAAGAAATAAATTTACTAGCATAGTTCACAGCAACCTATATGTAGGAGCTGAAAGACTGGCAACAACTCAAATGTCTATCAACAGGAAAACGGATAAATTACTGACACATGCAGCAACATGGACAGGCCTCAAAACAATTATGCCAAGTGAAAGAACCAGGAAAAAAAGGAGTACTTACTATATCATTCCATTTATATAAAATCTTAGAAAATATGAACTAATCTATAGTGGTTGCTTGGGGATTGAGAAGTAAGGAGGAAAGGGAGAGAGGGACGGATTATAGAGAAGCATTACGACACTTTCAGAGGTGATGGATATGTTCATTATCATTGAACAGTACCATCGTAACTATGGTGATGGGGTTACAGACACATACGTACATTAAAACTCATCAAATGTACACATTACATATGTGCAGTTTACGGTATGTCCATTATACCACAATAAAGCTGGAAAATTAAAAAATTTACTACTATTGCTTGTAAGCAATCTCCTTCTATAGTTCACCAGTGTAACATGATTTAATCTAATGAAAATTTATGGATTCCCAGAATTTAAGAAAAAACAAAATACAAACATTCAAACAGGGAGACTTAAAACAAAAACAAACTTAAAACTTAAAAACAAATCAAAATCTAGAGAATGGAATGAATGCAAATTTACAAAGTATTCATGAAGGAAGAATGAGCATAACTTAGAATGTACTTGCTTCTCAAAACAAGAACTTAAGAATTGTAACAGGAAATTGTTCAAGATTTTGTTTGCTTTGGTTCAGTCATCAATTTAAATGGAGAAAGCAGCCAAAAAATCAAGAGAAGACTGAGACTCGGAAGGGCAGCAATGAAAGAAGTAGGAAAGACCATCTAGTGTAAGGAAGTGTCATTAGAGACCAAAGCCAAGATATCCACAGCCTCGTCTTCTCTATTACCATGTACGAGTGCGAAAGTTGCACAGTGAAGAAACCTGACAGGAAAACTGATTCACTGGCAACACACTGTTGGAGGAGAGCTCTACAGATACCCTGGACGGCCAGAAAGACAAACAAGTGGATCCTGGAGCAAATTAAGCCTGAATCTCTGGAGACAAAGAAACTGAGACTGTCCTATTTGGGCACATCATGAGAAGGCAGCATTCTTTGGAAAAGGCAATAATGCTGAAAAAAGTAGAAGGCAGCAGGAAAGGAGGAAGGAAGACCAAATACGACGTGGACTGATTCCATAAAGGCAGCCATAGGCACGAGTCTACAGGAGCTGAGGACGGCTGTTGAGGACCGGACATTATGAACATCATTCATTCATAGGGTGACCAGGAGCAGGAGTCCACTTGAAGGCAGGTTAACAACAACAAAGACAATCAGTGAAGAATATTTCAACAGAATTTGCGTGAGCTTTCTGAGTGACAATCAGGCTGCAGAAAAGGTGTTATTTTGTTGGCTCACCAGTTGTACTTTTGTACCAAGGAAGTTGCACCAAAAGTTCTAAATTTAATTTCTAGTCAGACCATATTCTGGCATTGACTGAGGCATTTTATGGAGTCTCATACAGAGCAAACATGTTCAAAAACATAGAAGAATCCCATAAAAATAGAAAAATCAAGTATATTTCCTCTTTTGGGTCAGAAATATCATGCATGTTTGATTAAACAAATCTGAAAAAGTTCTAAAAAATATAGTTAACAAAATTTTTTTTGCTTTGTGATATACTTACATAATAAAATTAAACAGATCCCTGCACTCTGGGGGGAGGGGTGGGGAACACTGTGTCTGATTCCATCCTTGAAGTATAGCCTGATCAGTATCAGTAACTCACAGGGAGAGTCTCAAGTCACACTTATCCATTGATTTACTTATCACAAAAAGATTTAAGTGTCAGACCATGCATAACACAATAATTCCATATTTTTTGGTATCAGAGATGAAGTCAGCTCACAAAAGCAAACAGCAGATATTTAATAAAAAATGCAACTTCCATAATATATGGAACACTCACCAAAGTGTTCTCTACACAAAGTGTTCTACATTTATTAACTAATAAATGTCAATAAGAGTCAATATAAAATTTCCTCAACTACATTTACTAATGTTCTTCACTATGAACCTCAGAAAAACAAATCCTTAGTTAGCTTCATTATAATTCACTAAGAAAAAAAATGCAGTAGTTATAACATTACATGTAAAGGAAAACCTGGTTTTCTATTTATCCCTGAGATTATCCAGAAAATGTAATCAACCCATATACCCTACCCCGTCATCAAGGTTTCCCCGTACTTTATCTTGTACAAGGAGAAACAACAGTCCCTGCCCTCCAGAGTTATCGTCTAAAGAAGTAAAGAGCGACATGTGAAGAACACAGTATAACGGAACAAACTGTGTATAAACAAAGTACGGTCCATTCTTTAAGACAATGAAAAGGCAGAGACAACAGTGATCGCACTGGACAGCATACTGTAGGTGGAAGCGTTGTATCACTTACACTGAACATTTGAGAAAAAGATTAGTGAAAGTGGCGTTAACTCAAGAGTATTAGGAATGTTTTAAGGATCAGATTCTGGTTGAGAGATGAGGAGGGAAAAGCATTCCACAGATCACAGCCATACCCTGAGGATCTGGAGAGCCACGAAAGAGTTGATGATGGAAGGATAAGACGAATAGAGTGTACTAGGACTATATCAAATATAAGAAAAGGAGAAAGATCAAAGACTAGAAAACAAATGACTCAGGTTCCAATTTGTGATCCAAAGTAGCAGATTCAAGTGTCCATGAGCAACAGTATTTAACATTAATAAGCAAAATGAAAACACTAATGAATGAATAGCTTCTACAATTTACCTTTTTATCTCTTTGACACAGACTTTATGGGCTTGCTCTGGGATTCTCGATGTTCGTATTTTTTCCTCTAGAACAGCGATGTCGTTATCATCTTCATTCTCATCCTCATCTTCTAAAGTACCTGGGATGTGTGTAATCCTCCTAATAGGGCATATTGCTATAACCTAAAGCAGAAGAGAACAACAGTATGTCAAAATAAACTGGAAATGAAGTGCCTAGCTACATGTAAGGTTATAACTGGTGCTGAATAAACACTGTTATGTCCAGAATCTAAATCTTTAGGAACTAAAGTTCAGAATGATAACTAAGAGGCACATGCACATATGGAAGCAGCAGAACTTAAAAAGCAGACCAACATAAGATGGACATGATTCTTTGGTACATGCTGACACTACTATATGAGAAAAAAATTCAAGAAACTGGCTACTAGAAATAATTAAAACACTTTGGAATTATCTTTCTTTGAGCTGCTATTGCAGACACTATTTCCTTGATATACATTACTACTTACAATTTGGCAACTGAATAAATTCCATTTTTCCTCCTACATGAAAAATTTCTAACATCTTTAACCTTTCCACCATTGGCTCTACTCTCTTTGTCTTCAACACACAGAACAGACTTCCCCTTTCAAAATGCGTTATCTTACCTACGTCCCTTCCAGTGACTATACACTATTAACCTCCCTTCTTGTGATGTTCTGCTTTTTCAACCACTGGCTTTAACCACCAATTCCCCTTCCTCACCAATTACTTCAGGAATTTGTGCTTTGTACTTTGGCTTTTGTTTCCATAGTGATGAAGTTTTCTTTGAAATCCAATACATCTCCTTTGCCAAGTCAATGGCCTTGTTTCTCTTCTCTTTCTCCACAATCTACCATACTTTAAAACTACCTAAATGTTCTTCTGAAATTCTCAATCATTAAAATCATAAGTCAATTCCAGTCATTTTGGGAATAAAATGATACACTGATATTGTATTTAAAGCACTCAGAATTTATTTTTTAATCTATACATTACCTATTTAATTCATTCAAATATAAAAATTAAAACATAAGGCAGTAAATAAAAATGTAATTTTATAAAAACAAATATTAAATATAAACTTTCATTCTTACACAAGTCATTAGCAGATAAAATTAAATATTTTAAAGTACGAAAAACTGGAAATAAAATATTTTTTTAAGTGAGATTTAAGAAAAACACATCAATGATTTCATTGCTGAGACAAAAGTACTGTTTTATGCAATTTTCCCCAGCTGCGAAAAGAACGCTTTTCAACTCCTAGGGAAACAGGCAAGGAGCCAGTTTTAGGCTAACTCCAAATATCATCCTCTGATTCGTATATTTCCCAATAGCTGTCTCTTGTTTCAGAATTCTCTGGAGCAACTGGAACAACTTTCTTCTTAGGCAGCGGTAATAGTTATTGACAGGAAGGTGCAGTTTTCTGCGTCTCCCAATGCCCAGGATGATCTGGTTTGTCTTTCGGTGCCAGATGAGTAACTCAGTTAATGATTTGATCTCAAGCCAGAAAGAATTCAGATTTCTGATGTTTGTTTGAAACAGTGAAGTGTCCTGGAATACTAAACCCCAGACAGGCTACTCCTATCTCTCTCATCAATCTCCTCAGCCTACTTTACTGCTCCTTCCTTAGTCCCACCAGGGCAGAAGCCTTCGCTTCTGCTCTTCTTTCTCTACAATGTACCCTCTTTGATGAAGGGACCCTGCTGAGCTGAGGACCACCAAATCTCTAACATTATTCTCAACCTTTCACTTCATCTCCCACAGCCTCTGGACCTCCAAGAGCCTTCAGAGAACTGTCACTTTCACTCTTGCCCACATCAAATATAACTTCCCCATCTTCACGTTGCCCACACAGAACAAGGGTAAAATCCACAGCTCAAGGTAGACCTGAGACAGACCCCTCACCCACATGGATGTAATGCATGTAATGAAGGTATCATGAATCAATGGTGAAGGGAGGGATTACTGAATAATGGTGTCGAGTCAAATAAAAAGCTATCGGGGAAAAAATACAACTGCTATCTTCACCTTATTGACAGGGCAAAAGAAATTACATATGGTTAAAGAGTTACATACTTTTCAAAAATCAACTAAAGGAAAACTAAAAGGAAAGTGGATATTTATAAAATCACTGGAAAATAGAGGACTCTAAGCTTAGAAGACAGGAGAACACTGACAGTTTGATTACATGAAAAAAAGAAACCGTAAGTTACAAACAAAAACCAGCCAAATTATGGGAAAACATACTGAGACAGTCCTTTTAGGAAACAATTTTGTAGTATATTCTTAATACTACATGCAGTAACAAAAAACTATACTCAAAGACACTTACCACAGCTATCTGCTAACTTTGAAACATTGAAAACAACATATCATGTCTGGCAAAAAGAGAAATGGCTTAGTAAATTATCCCTTTCGATGATTACCAAAACAAAAACAAAAAGTGAAAAATTTTTTTACATGCTCTAATTAAAAAAAAGCTTCAGACATGGAAAAGGACCAGAGGGAAATATACCAAAATTCAAAATTTTGTCAGTAACTTGAGTGGCAAGAGACAATGAAGTTTTTCTTCTTTATTCTTTTCTTTAATCTCCCAATTCATTATTTCATCAAAAAAAATGGAATCTCATATCACATAAACCAACTGGAAACCTGAAGAAATGGATTAAAGGAAATATTTACCCCCTTAACATCATCTTGCTTGTGTTTTCTGAAGCAATTTCAGGTCTTCAACTTGTCTGACAAGCAGTAGTATGGTCATCTTGAACTGCTGCTCCAGACTCACAGCATCTCAAATCTAAGGAAACATGAGTCAGTTAGTAGAGTCTCTCTCAGAAACATGTGCTCCAAAACCAGGCAGTCAGAGTCACGACATAAATTGTTATGTAAAGACAACTCTCGTCAGTATTCACAGCTACACTATGGCTATCACAACCAAAGTAATCAGCAAGGTCCTTTGACACCAATACCAGAATCCTAAAAAAGACAAGGAAAAAGTAACTTGAGTTTTCATTCAAAAATGAAGCCGTGTGTGGGGCTGGCCTGGTGGCATAGTGGGTAAGTTTGCGCGCTGCACTTCGGTGGCCCGGGGTTCACAGGTTCGGATCCTGAGCATGGACCTACACACTGCTTATCAAGCCAAGCTGTGGCGGGCATCCCACATACAGAGTAGAGGAAGATGGGCATGGATGTTAGCCCAGGGCCAATCTTCCTCAGCAAAAAGAGGAGGATTGGCAACAGATGTTAGCTCAGGGCTAATCTTCCTCACACACACACACACAAAAGACGCTGTGTGTATTGTTCTAAGACCAAGAAGAAAACACACATTTTATATCAACTCTCTCTGGGAATTACTCTTGTAAAGTCCAGAATGTGTCTGCATATTAGGTCTAAACAGATTCTAGGTTCAAACTATTAAATTTTTACATACACAAGAGAAGAGAAGCACTTTTAACTAACCTCCACTAAAGATTTCTCTGAGGAACTAATGCTCTCTATTCCCTCAGTAAAACATACTTGCTAACGCCCACAGCCAGATTACTGGCTAGTACTCCTACACTCTTCTGCTCCTACCAATTGAAGTGAATTCTTGTGTTTATACCCAAGCTGTCTGTATTAGTTGCACTTACTATTATCATTGTTGGATTTAAGTATTAAACAAACTGATAAAACAAGGGGGATTGTTTCAATGAAAACTAACTAACATGTTCTGGGAAGATTCAATAAAGCAGACTGCTTAAAAATACTATAAAAATAAGTGTGCAAGAAAACTTTTATAGTTTGAAGAAAGACATGAAAATCTAAGATTCTGCACTTGGATTAGGGGCCAGCCCCGTGGTGTAGCGGTTAAGTGCGCACGCTCTGCTGCTGGTGGTCTGGGTTCGGATCCCAGGCACACACTGAGGCACCGCTTGTCAGGCCACGCTGTGGCGGCATCCCATATAAAGTGGAGGAAGATAGGCACAGATGTAAGCCCAGTGCCAGTCTTCCTCAGCAAAAAGAGGAGGATTGGCATGGATGTTAGCTCACGGCTGATCTTCTTCACAAAAAATAAATAAATACTATTAAAAAAAAAAGATTCTGCACTTGGATTATTTTTCAAGTGTCTTTGAATCTTACTTCACTTGAAAGAAATAGAAACTGAAAATCATAGATAATGCATCACAGGGTTCGTTTATGTAAGAAACATCATGAAGAATTCTAATGAAGCAGGTTCGTACACAAGGGAAAGGTCCCAGGTCCACATGCTTAAAAAATAGTGAGACAAAGTGTATTTATACATTTTGAAGTTAAATTAAATGTTTACCATTTTTATTACTCTCTGCTTTAACGTTTTCCATGAACTGACAAACTACTAGTACTGATAACGCAAATAAAAGAGCTGTTTGAGCATATAAACATGTACAGCAACCACTGTTAAAAGTCAATTTAAGTGTTAAAGCATTCTAACTAGTTCTGTGAGTCTCCAGTATCTCTTACCTGAAGGTCAAAATCTACTATCTCGATCCAAATAAAAAATGACACAGCGACGCAGCATTCAAGAAGGGAACACCGTACCTGGCGCTTCTCTTTGTTGTTTGTTCGGATAATTAATGTCAGAATGTCTGGCAGGGAGTGACGTCAGCATCATGGTGGAGTGAGCTTCTCCCATGGAACTCTCCCCGTCTAAGACACAACAAAAAGGACATTCATATTCCAACAGAAGCTATTCACACAACAAAGGGGACGTCTGAGCCACCCAGGCAGCCATACACCTGAGGACTGAGGTGCTGGAATCTCCAGATAAGTGGAAGGAGGTAAGAGGAGCTCCCTTCCTTCCCCAAGGATTGTGACCCAGAGACTGAGACCACGTGGCTCTCATAGAAGGGGGAGGGGCACCTCGCTGCATGGAAACCGGTGCTCTCCAAGACCCTTCACAGCCCAAGGGGATCCCCCAACAGAGGGATCGAACTATTGCAAGGGTAGTTTCAACAAGCTAGTCCCTCAGGAGAGCAGAGAGCAACCGCGAGGCGAGAAACCTCTGAGATCAGGGAGGTGACAGAAAGCCCTCCCCAACCCGGCCCGCCCAACTGGTGCTTAAGCACAGCGGAGCTTCAGCTCAGCCCCGTCCCCAGAGGCAGCGGCCCCCAGGCGCCTGGGCCCGACCAGCAGTGGGGCGAGCCTGTGCCCTCGCACCAGAAGCAGCGGCAGCTTAGTCCCCATCACGCCACAGCCCCAGCTGCTCCAGCTGGACCAAGCCACGGCCCCAGCTTCCCCGGCTCCAGTGTGCCATGGACACAGCTCTTTCGGCTGGAATGTGTCCCGCCCCCAGCACCTTCAGCTTGAAGCCCGGCCCCCACCCGCTCCAGCTGCTTCAGCTTGGCCTGTGTGCAGGCTCCAACTGACTTGGCGCCAGCAACTTCAGCCCACCACACTCCAGTTCCAGCTTCTTTGGCCCAGCGCACTCCAGTTCTGGTTTTGGCCCAGCAGTGCTCCAGCTCCTCGTTCTTTGGCCAAGTGCGCTCCAGCTCCTCCTTCTTTGGCCCTGCGCACTCCAGTTCCAGCTTCTTCGGCCCAGTGCACTCCAGTTCCAGCTTCTTTGGCCCAGCGGTACTTCGGCTGCAGCTGATTCAACCCACCGCACCCGAGCCCCAGCTGCTTCGGCCTAGCTGTGCTCCAGCTCCAGCTCTTTCCACGCTTCCCCACCCCAGCAGCCTCCACTCAGCCACACCGCAGATCAGCCAGGGGCTGACAAGAGTGCCCAGGGATCAAGGCGGGCCAGAATACACAGCCCTTGACCCCCACCCAGCAGCAGCAAGAGGAAAATGAGACCATATATTTTCACTATGAGGAAAGGTAAGCCAACACCAACAGGCACCATGCAAAAATATATTAAAACTCCACACCAAAAGGAAAATGACAAGCACCCAGAAGTCAACCCGGAAAGCACAGAAATGTATAACCTTAACAACAGAGAATTCAAAATAGCCATCATAAAGAAGCTTAATGAAATACAAGAAAACACAGACAGACAATTCAGTGAAATCACGAGTTTCTTCACAAGAGAGAGTGAAACTATAAAAAAAAAACCCAATCAGAAATCTTAAAGATGAAAAACACAATCGAGAAGATAAGGACAAATCTGGAAGCCTTAAGCACCAGAGCTGACAGTATGGAAGAAAGAATTAGCAATATTGAGGACAGCAATGCAGAAGTGCTCCAGATGGAGGAGGAAAGAGAACTAAAACTAAAAAGAAATGAAGAAACTCTCCGAGAAATATCCGACTCAATTAGAAAATCCGATATAAGAATTATAGGTATTCCAGAGGGAGAAGAGAGGGAAAAAGGAGCAGAGAACTTGTTCAAAGAAATAATATCTGAGAACTTCCCAAACCTGAGGAAGGAGCTGGAAATACCAGTGAATGAAATCAATAGATCTCCTAAATATATCAACACGAAGAGACCCTCTCCAAGGCATATAGTAGTAAGCTGGCAAAAGTCAATGACAAAGAAAAAATATTAAGGGCAGCTAGACCAAAAAAAATAACATACAAAGGATTTCCTATCAGGCTCTCAGCCAATTTCTAGACAGAAACTTTACAGGCTAGGAGAGAGTGGAACAATATATTCAAAATTCTAAAGGACAAAAGCTTTCAGCTAAGAATACTTTATCCAGCAAAAATATCCTTCAGATATGATGGAGAAATAATAACTATCCCAGATAAACAAAAGCTAAGGGAGTTCACTGCCACAAGACCTCCACTACAAGAAGTGCTCGAGAAGCCCCTCATCCCTGAGGAAAAAAAGAGAAAGGGGATTCAAAGTTTTGAACGAGAAGGAAAATAGGTCGACAAAACCAGAAAAACTACAGGCCTCTATCAAAACAGATTAGCGAACACTTAATTATAAAACCAAAGATCAAGGGAAGGTAAGCACCAAGTATAAATATAACCTCATCATGTTAAACACAAACTCACAACACAAGAAGGAATAAGATGTGACAACGATAACATAGAAGGGGAAGAGGAAAGAGATCGAATCGACTTAGCCTAAGGGAATAAGAGGCCATCAAAAAAAGGACTATCACATCTATGAGATTTTTTATACAAACCTCACGGTAACACTAACCAAATAGTCAGAACAGATCACACACAACAAAGAAAGAGAAAACTAAGAGAACCCCCATACAGAACTACCAAACAGCATTGGTAGTCTGAAACACATGGAACGAGAAACAAAAGAAATGCAAAAGAACTGGAAAAAGAGTGATAAAATAACAACAACAAGCCCTCATATATCAATAATTACCCTAAATGTAAATGGACTGAACTCTCCAATCAAAA